ATCAAACACTGAAAACATAAGACTATTTACAAAAAAGTATATCAGTGCAGTAAAAAAGAATCTGCAAAAATAGCTGAAATGTTATTTAAGAAGTTATATATATATATATATATATATATATATATATATATATATATATATATATATATATATATATATATATATATATATATATGACAATTATATTGTTGTGGGAAATTTTAAAGCAGGGTTAGATTTAAAATATATATCACAAATTTTGAACATCTCAGGGAAACAATGTTCAAGCCAATGTCTGAAGATGGAAAGACAGAGACATGCCTGAAACTCTACCAGGACATTCCCCAAAACATATTGGCTGGGTGAGAGAAGAACATTGACTACCGGAGCAGCCAAGAGGCCCATGATGAGAGCTGCAGATATCCACAGCTGAGCTGGGAGACACTGTTGACAGGAAAACATTTAGTCATGCACTCCAAGAACCTGGCTTTTATGGAAGAGTGGCAAGAAGAAAGCAGTTGTTAAAAGAATGGCTTTAGACATCCCATGTAGCTTCCTGGAAGCCACATAATTGACCAAAGAAAACATGGAGAAGGCGGCTAACAATGTACCAGCAAAAACAACATGTTACTTTTCATCATGGGACAAGAGGCTGCTCAAAGTTGATGAGAAGTTTGATGGAGCTCAAAATTGGGCAGTAGAGGAAGAAAATCTATTTGAGGAGGCAATAGGTTTCAGACTGGGGTGCAGGATTATCATCCAGAAAGACAACCAGAGCTAGAATGGAGTAATGGGGATCAAACCAAACACCAAACTGAGTATCTGTGGCAAAGCTGGTGGTCACTGTTGCTCATCTTTCAAACTGGAGCTATCTGGAAAAGAAGGATTGGTAAAACTTTCCATCTCTGGATGTGGAACGCCGGTAGAGACGTTCCCTCGGAGGGAGTTGGAGTCCAAGCGGCAGCAAAAAGGCTGATTCTAGATTGAAGTCAGGAAGAGCCGGATACAAAGAGATAGAAAACCTTCCCTCCCAGTTCCCATTTATGTACTACTTTTGTGTTGGTCTGCCACATGAAACATCCAATAAAACACACTGAAATTTGTGGCTTTAACATGACATAAAAGTTAACAAGTTGAAGGAATACTTCTGTATGGCTGCGTACAGCGGCCCTCAAATCGCATATGTGGGACTTATGACACATAGGTTCCGACGCAGAGCGGCAGAAATGGAACTTATGACACTGGGCTGGGCAAGCCCCAATTGCCGTGGATAAAAATTATTGTAATAATGTTATTTTTTAATAACTGTATAATAAGCCATCACTTGCCCTTAGAGTTGATGGAAATGTGGAATCAATAACTTTTTATATGGCTCAGGCATCGCATTTGCCATGACAGCTACAAGAAGTGGTGTCAGCGGAGTTGTGGATCTTAACATTTCCAACTGCTTTGCCATATGTTAGAAATCATGGTGTGTACAACCTTGCTAAATGGTGGCAATAATGAGTGGCTGTTATTGCCAGAGTTGTTCCTAATTGCAAGTATGTGATCCATCTGCCAGTGCAGGATTTGGGAGTTGCATTTGGAGTTGCTATGTAACAAGCTTAATCCCTTAAACAAACACGGCCTTCAATAAACGTTGATTGCATGTGACAGTTATTTGCGTTGCTGCAGAACTATTCAAAAAAGGAAATTGTAAAAAGATTAATAGCCAGACAAGCGGCGAGCTGCTAAATCTGTTAAATTGCTAATTTGATGCGTGCAGCCCGGGCACCTCCCGCCACACCTGCTGGACAGAGTATGCAGATTTCGGACACTTTACACGTTAATGCCGGCAGATGGCTTTTTGACACATATGATTGAAGTGCATGTGCACAATTACTTTTGTTGTAAATCCGGAATGAGAACTGGGGGAATAATGAACGATCCGTAATGAGTCAGTGTATACAATCCAGTTGGGATCCATTTGAACAGGTGCAGAGGTGGGTTGTGGAAATTCTTTTATTTTTTCCATTTTATTCTATTTTTGTTACCGTCAAACCTCGGAACAGACGACTCCTTCTATACCGGCCTTGTGCGACGTCTCCTAAGGGCGCAGTTTGAACTTTTTTTTCAGAGCTTATTTAACTCCACGTTCCACCGGAATACCTGGCTTTTTCTTCCGCTCTGGGATCCAAACACAACACAAGGCCATTGTCCCTGTTTGCTTGAGGGGGAATACAACGGAGGGCTAACTCGGTTCTTCCACTCAGGATGTGATACGAACGGGGGGCTTTACGACGCGCATGAACCGAATCACACTCCCTAACTTGAACACATTACGGAAACGGGCAAATATTTCCTCTTACTGCTGCTCTGAGAGCCATACGCGTGGCCGTTATATTGGCCCACAGTGCCAGCTGGTGAGGACAAATCCACAAGGATTCCTGTTTCCCTCTCCTGACTCTCTGGCAGCCCCGCTCCATTCATTCTGTTTTTATATGTGCCCACTGCCTGGTAGCTGTGCTACTACCGGTTTCAGGGGAGAATTAATCAAAAGCAGGTCTTATTAAAGTATATTAAGGCCAGTCGAATTGGATATTATGTGCTCAATAAGGGCCCAGAAGGATTGTATGAGAGACATGGTTGACACTTGTGGCTGCTACGAGTCAGGATATTGTTGCTGTGTAGTGGTGCGGTGTCGGTTTCAGGGGGGCCAATTCACTTGAGCCAAATGTTGCATTGCGGGTGAGTAGATTTTAAGTGGGTATGAATACAGTAGGGGGTAAAAAGAGGGCTTCATAGTCCAGGAATGTTTATCCCCCCAACCAGGCCTTCATTCGAGGCTGGATTATGCAGCAGCATGCCTCCCGTGCAACCTTTGCCTCCGTGTGGAGGGTCTGTTGGAGAAACATACGTCCATACATATCCACATGTAAAAACAGTCGTTACCTTCGTAATGAGAAGCCAGGTCTTATTGCCCCCTCAAGGTATGGTGAGGAGGAGGGAGTACAGTCACTGCGGAGGGGTGTTGTACCTAAGTATCTCCGAGGAACTCGGAGGAAGCGGCGCATGCATCATAGACATCATCTTCCTCCGCACAGCACATTTAATTGTATCATCCGTGGATTGTGGAAAAGCATCAGATCAGCCCGGCTGAAGTCGAGGTCTTGACCTCACGGCTCGATAATGTGAGTCTGCTTGCTGCCTTTTGACCTAAATCTGGTTTCGGCTGTTCCCGGTACTAGCAACAAAGTATAGAAAGTGATGATTAATCTGTAAAAATATTGTAAATAAACCTTTCTTTACTTTCATCGATCAAGACGTCTATATGCCGAGTGCTCGATCTCCAAATCTTGACTTCCTCACTTTTTAGTTCATCTATCAAATAAAATAATTCTCCAATTGGGCGAGGGAAGAACGGTGAGTACGTCTCTGTCAAAAACCAAGTAAGAGAACGCTATCAGAAAGTTTACTTTTTGCCAACCAGAACACTAAGAAGCAGTGGACCTCCACAGGTACACCTGACCCTCCTGCTGCCCGCTGTTTATGGGGTAAACTTACTTCTACGCAAAACCAGACTAGACAAGCTTGTAGTGTCATATTTTGACTGAATGTAAACGAGTCCAATTAACGCTTATAGATTTTTGACCTTATGTGGGATAAATTAGAACAAACTGTTGTTTTTCATTTACAAATGGCAAAATTAAACAAAGCAATTTAAATAATGTTGATAATTGGTCAAATAGTAACAATCATGTTGGGGTGCTGTGGAGGCCCAGGGGTTAAGCACAACACACACAACAAGGCCTTAGTTCTCAATGTGGAGGTCACAGGTTCAATTCCCAGCCTGGTGAGCTTTGCAGCATGTCTTCCCTCTCTCATTACCTACTTTCCTGTCTGAAGACTTTCAATTTATATATATATATATATATATATATATATATATATATATATATATAAAGAAAGATTTACAAACCTTTAGGTACTATTACATAGCCAATTCCTCTTTTTTTTTTCTTTTTGTTGTGAGAATTCAGTCTACCACTACTAGCATATTAGCTTAATCTGTCTAAGCAAGTGACATTTGGGAAAATGTGCTTCTTGCATAGAAAAATCAGCATCATATATATTTTTTAATATATTAAAATAATACCCAATCAGTTCAAACAAAGAAAAAAAAGAAAAACTTGGGATTTGCTCCCGTGACATCCTCCTCCAGTTACCAACTTTCCAACTGGAGCGGACGAACACACACGCAGACGGACGCGGGCCATCATCACACTTCATCTCCACAGAGGTTTTCCTTAAAAACACCCAGTTGCTTTTTCCTCTTTTTTTCTTTTCTTCTACTTGTTTGCCCTTCTGCCTCTGTAAAATTCCTGTTTACCACGAAGGTATTTTAGTTTGTTCTTTAAAACACCAGCGGGAGGATTTATGGAGCTACTGTAGTGCAGTGCGCTGATGAAAAGGGCCCCTAATTACTGCCTGCTCTGCTCTGCTCTGCATCTCCTCCGCGTGTATGTGGGTATGAATGAGAAGACTAAACCGCACGGCCTGTGCGTGTGTGTGTGTGTGTGTGTGTGTGTGTGTGTGAGGGAGAGAGAGGAAGCCGACTAAGAACCCTCTGCATTCATTCACTATCTCCTTGTGTGGTTTGGCAGCAGGCGCTTGCTGGTAAAGCGGGGAACGGTGGGGTGTGTGCAACGGGCATCCGTCTGGACGCGAGGCAGGCCTGGCACGCCACGCCGCTCCCCTGCGAGGCCCGGCATGAGGGTGGGATCAGAGCAGAAAGCCTCGCTCTGCTCCAGACAGCCAGTCTGTGCACGTGCGTGGATGCAAGCAAATGCGTGTTTTTGCATGCATGTGCACTACTGCGAGCGCAGGGGCAATTAAAGTAAAAAAAAAAAAAAAAAAAAACCCACACAAGCTTAACCAGCAACCAAAGGTTGGCTATTGTTCCGCCTGTCACTTTAAAACGTGTTGACCTCTCTGTACGGAGTCTCACCATTCATCACTCTGTCACACGGCTTGTCCGAGTCTGTGTGTTCCCTAATCATTTCTTTTTATTTTTTTGTGCAAATTTAACACCAGGCTGTTTATTTGACCTCTGTGGTTGTTAGAGCTGTGAGGCGCGATCAAGCCAAGCTGAAAGCAACACAATAATATCCACACCGCCGTGGCAGCTCGCCATACCTCCCTGTTCTCTGCTGGATAATAAGTGAACCGCCACGAAGCCGAGCTCGGTTTGCACTTGGACAGCACAACTCCCTTGGAAGATAATATTTTTGCTGGAAGTATTGTTTGTTGGACGCCAACGCAGGATATTATCTCCTAAACAGCACCAGCGATGGAAATCGTGTGACTGTGCTGAAGTTCTGAGGCCTTCCGCGCTCAAGTCTGCTCGTGAAAGTTAAGACATTTCAGGCAAATGATTAACAAAAAAGCACACAACGGATAGTGAGTTTAGCTTTTAATTTATTTATTTTTTTATTTTTTTTGTTTTGTTTTCCACAGCAATTTCTTTCTCCGCGCTCGACAGCAAGCGGAAAATGATGTGGCGTCTGAACCTACGAATGCATTCGGTGACGTCGCGTGTTTAATTGAAGACAACAGGAATAAATATCAGTGGCAGCAGCTAAAATTCTGAGCGCAGCGGAATTTCAGTCGCAGCACAAGCCGCAGACATCAGCCAGGCAGCAGCCGCAGCAGAACCGGCATCTGACGGGGCCAGGGTAATTGTTTTCCCTCATGTCGTACGGCATCTGCGTGAAAAGACGAGGAAGATGAGTCCAGGTATTTGCAAATGGCGGATCCTTGAACGCAGCACAACACGTCTACGAAGAACAGTGTTTGGGGTGTAACGAGCCGTCAGGTCAGGAGATCTCACAATAATTAAATGATAGATTTTTCATCAGTATGAGGCTTTATTATTCAGTAACTTTCTCTATACGGCAAAAACACTGAATCTTACCAAGTATTTTTGGTCTAGTGTCTCGTGTAAATATCCTAGTACACTTGAAGTAAGACAAAACTAGCTAATGGATAACTTTTCAGCAAGAAAGAGAAGAGCTTGTTTTAAGTCAGTTCCTTAATATTGACGAAAGTACTTGTTCCCTTGGCAGATTATTTCACTCAAAGCAAGGGGAAAATATCTTATAAGTGTAATTATCTGACGCCGGAACTAGTAGTTTTTCATCAATATTAAGGATTTAGTGATTTAAAACGAGCCTCTATTTCTTGCTGAAAAGTTACTTCTGAGTCAGTTTTGTTTTTTTCAAGTGTACTAAGAAATTTGCACTAGAAACTAGACCAAACATATTTGTAGAAATATTTCTTTATAGTGTATGGGCAATAATGTGTTCCTTTTTATTTTTTTTTTTATTTTTTTTTTAGATTTTAAACAAATGAATGGAGAATTTAAACAGGGCTTTTCTGATGGATATTGAGTTGACTGACTGCTGTGCATGTGTGTGTCAGTGTCCCAGTGCAGGAAACACAGATTTGATCTAGTTATTTCACATCTGGGTATTTCTTTTTAATCTTCGTTAGAATCCATTACTGGCCACCATCTGCTTATAGCTTGACCATAACACATTTGGCTTTACTGTAGGCTTCAAATTAAAAACTGAATATTTGCCAAAGCCATCAAAACAATTTGATGAGAAGAACATTTTTGTTCATGGGTGGGAGACAAGTTGAGGGAAAATTCACAGATTTTACTGACAGAATTAAAATTCTACTTTGATCTGGATTTTATGAGTGAGGATCACATTTTTGAAATTTGTACAACCATCTAGATTTCTTTTTATTATATGCATAGCTCTGGAAAAAAATGACACCACTTAAAATGATCTCTTTCTCTGATTCTACTCTCTATAGGTATGACCAAAGTGAATATTGTTCTTTTATTCTATGAACTACTGACAACATGTCTCCAAAATTCCAAGCAAAAATCTTGTATTTATTGGAAGAAAATGAGAAATGGCTAAAATCATTTAAAAGTGGTTTCAGATCTAAAACGCCAAGAAAACAAGTTCATATTCATTTAGAAACATCAATACTTATGTTTTAACTCAGGAAGAGTTCAGAAATCAATATTTGGTGGAATAACCACGAGGTTTTCAACAGGTTTCAGTGCAGTGGTCTCTTCATTTTCATTAACTTTCAGTGTCAGACACTTGTTCATTTTTCCAAAACTTTTTAACCGCGCAGTAACAGTTTTAAATTGAATCTGTTCAAAGTTCCAATCTGCGCTCGCGACGTCTCCGCTCTGTTTTGATGAAATTTCAGACATGTGCTGAAGAAGTTAATGACTGACAGGGAACGGTGACAAAGGAAACAAAAGCTGCTTAGCCTTGTTGTCTTTTGATGTCATTAATATCACTGTCATCGCCACCTGCTGGTGCATCATGGCTATTTCAGTGTTTTGGATTATACATATAGCGTAGATGCTGACTTTTGGGGAAATAAAAAAAAAAAAAAAACGAGAGAAAAACACTATCGGTTAAAAAAAATTACTGGAGTACTGCAGCGTGGATCTTAGTTCTTTCCCAGACGTTTTCTTAAAATCTCCATCTTATCTCGTTCTCTTACATCCAAACAGCTAAACGTACCATCCACATTTCTGATGACTCTTGTGATTCGCTAGTGTCACTCAACTCCTCCTCCGGCTGCTCATTGTGAAGCACGCTTAAGAGCATAAAATTACTCTGGGGGAAAAAAAAAGACAGAAAAATATAAGAAAGGAAACTTAGAAATGTGCAACATGCATTATTATTTTTGGCTCTTACTGTCATAAATGGCAGGGCAGAGATCCTCTGAAAGCAAACAAAGGCGAGTAGAGTCACAGAGAGTACGACACCGAATGTCCTCATTCTCTGGGCAGGTTACCTATTAACTGTCATCTAAACAGTCAGACTGTTTGGACTGTTTTGTTGTTGCTTCTCGTCGCTTTGATTTGCAGGTAGAGAGTCACCGCATTTATACTCAGCTGGGGGAAACGTTGCATCACAGCTGGAACGGCAATTTGAACGAGGAGTGTGTATCGTGCCAGTCGTAGTGGCTGGAAAGTCCTGTCGCTGTTTTCATTGTAAACAAGAACAGGATATTTCCCAGGATGCTGTGCATTGTGTAATCTGAAGAACACCAAGAAAGTATATTCTTAAAAATTTAAAAATTTTTATTTTTAGATTCCCCTGAACAAGGCAGGACAAAAACACTTTTCTAAAGCTTTGATTTACTTCAAAATGGATTTGATTCTTAAGAGTGGCTATGTACATTTTTTTTTTCAGTTTGCGTTTCCATCTTGTTTAGCAGCTGCCAGCTGACTGAGTGAGGATCCACAGTACGTGGTTTGCTTTGAGGTGGACGCTGGGAACATAAAACCAGTAGCAACACGATGTGCCGCGTTTTAAGATCTGATACATGAATTGTTTTCATCCTCAGTGTGGAATTATGCTTATAAGACAAGCAATATGCTGTAAGTAAATGCAGAAATCAGAAGTATCAGTAGGTTAGGTGAAGCACTTTCTGTTACTCACAGATGACATTTCTAATCTTATGCAACAAGCAAAACTCTTTTGGTCGTTCGGTTCAGCGTAGTGACCCGATGCCACCTCTGAACTTTGTATGATCAACAAACCGCCCAGACGTCAGCTCAGTGGCTTTCTGTCTGCAAGCTGCAGCTTTGTTCCAACTTTAGAAATGGAGATTTACCTTGAGCTGAACAACGAAAAAAACTGGTAGTAATGTTTTCATCAAGTATAAAAAGAAAAGGACCTGGGATTGCATTTTAGAAACTGGAGCACCTCCTAAGATTATCAGTAGAAAGACAGAAGTGTTTAGCATTTTGCTCGTTGTGAAAGGTTTGCTGTATTTTTACACAGTTGTTCTTACAAAATCTCTGATGGTCTTTGCTTATCTTTCAGTACTTACCTGGTTTCTCTTTAACTCTTCCTCTGTGTGGTTATTTGCAGAAGATTTTTGAAATCACAGCTCATGATGCACTGAAAAAGTTACAGTCATGATATTAATTAGTTTGTGTGTTGCATATAGATGACCACTTTCACAGTATTTACTAAAAACAGAGGTCATTTTTGGAAAGCGAGGACCTTTTCCCACTTTTTTTGCAGTCCTACTGGTTATCTTTAGAGCAAACTCAGTTTTATTTTGGGCGACATCAAAAATCTGAAAGTTCTTAAAGGTCCGGTTGTGCCAGAATGTATTGGTAAAACCTGTTAAACTGTTAAAATATGTATAAATAGCTGTTCCTCCAGGATTTTGTGATTGTTCTTGTGGCTTTTTGTAATCAAAATCTTATGTATGATGTTAAATATGTCTTTTTATTACTCGCTGTTTCGATCATATACTATGACTTGACATCAAGTAAGGCTGAGGCAATCCAACGTTTTTGACCAATTTTGAGGAAAATTTCCTGTAAAATCAGAAAAAATGGGCATTTTGTGTGAATTTTGAGGACTTGTGAAAAACTGGAGGGACTTAATGATGTAATTTGGAGTCTTGAGGGCCACATGAAAAGCTGTGAGAGGGCCAGATTTGGGCCCCGGGGCCTTGAGTTTGACACATGTGCTTCAGAGGTATGAATGACGTTTTGGTTAAGGTTAGGTTTGGGAATAGACTAGTAATGGTTAGGGTTAGGGAACATTTCTTAATTAGGCATAAATACTGTTACTAACATGAATGAAAGTCAATACAAAGTTCTCATTTTGCATAAAAGTACAAGGATGTGTGTGTGTGTGTGCGTGTATACACTTGTTTAGCTATTCTCTTTCTGGCTTCGTTGATAACCTTCTGGACAACAGTGAGTCTTCTCGGGACCAAAGTCCAGTTCTAGTACAGGTAGACCCCTTTCATTCAAGGTTAGATATTTATGCACAAATGATCAAAAGGTAAAAATCCACAAAATGATTCAAGTCGGTGTAACTGTAACTACAGGCAGCGATTGATTTTTAGTTTTTGGTGAATCTAGGAATTTTCCAAAACTAATGTAATTTGGATAAACTTGAAGGCAACCTTTCCCATTACTTGTACCTGTGCCTTACATTTACCACACTGTAACTGTGAAAATTGTATCAAACTTCTACGCTATTCTTATAATAGAATAGATTGTAGATTATTTGAATGTTACAGTTTTGAAGTCAGCTTGTAGCTGCTCACACACCACATGAAGAATAGTTACATTGTTTTTATGTCACCTTCTAGTTTAGAGTCATGACTTTCATTATGTCTCAGAATGTTTTCCCACTAAGCTTTCATGCACATGCAGTAGATCAGATTCCATAATGAATTCAGGAAAAAATGAGCCTGTGTGTGTAAAATCTGTATGCATATAGGCTAATGCATGATATGATATATTTGTCAGAACCACTTTGTTTTTTTTTTAAAAACACATCTCTGCTTATAAACATATTAATTGTCCAGATTTTCCTTCATCATATAAGATTGTTGAGAACAAAGTTCATTTGCTCTAGTCGATCACTGAATCTGTTCATATTTAACAAAGAATTTGGACAAAAATATAAAGAAATGTATCATCATACTTGAAACAGAACTGTTAAGAACGCCCAAAGTGTTGAATGAAAACGTGTTCAGTTCAGTTTATTTACGTAGCATCAATTCACAACACATTTCATCGTGAGGCACTTTTACACAGCCCCCCCCC